TCCGTCTGAATGATAATCAGGACCTACAGCCTATCTCCCCCAAAGCTATGACAGTTACGTTTTAATCACTTGCAAATACGCTTGTCATGGCTTAACACACTGAGGATGCAGGCTTATTGCAACCTGCAGACACATCACCAGGCATCTCTGCCCAGCGAGGATGGCATCATCTTCTGCCCAGAAGACCATCCTTGTCTTTCTGACTTTCTTCTTAGGGATGAAAGGAGGGAGCAAACAGAACTTAATAACCCAGAAGAGTCTTGTCCAATAGACTGGGAGATGAGACGGGAGATCTGCTCCTGGGGAGAAATGCCAACCCCAGGGACAACACAGCCTGCCAGCCTTGGACCAACGCAGCCAGCAGGGTGGAGGCCCCTCTCTGGCGATTTACTCTGGAAAGCATGAGAACTGCCATTGCTTCTTTCAAGGATCATTAAAAATACAAAGGATCTCATCTGAAAATTGCTTTCCTCCTCAGGCAGCACCAGCTCTTCACCCTGTAAGAGAGTCAGGGCGCTCCTGGAGGATGCCAGCTCCCAGGACCGCAGGACGAAACCCCTGCAGAGAGGAGACAGAAGTCTTTCCTGAACCCACAGGACACTCACTTCTAAATGTGAACCACAGACGTGCCCGCATGCCTCCCTCCCTGCTCGGCACTGTTCACACCCACGTGCCAGCGCCCAACACAGCACCCGCCAGACAGCAAGCACATAGCATCTGAAGTCACCCGCATGCGTGTGGACGGGCACAACGGTTCTCCTACTCCAATCCGAACTGGGATTTGAATCCAGGAAGCCGGCTCCAGAGCCCACCATGCCCACCCCTTCACACTGCGTCACACACAGGAGATGCTCAGACAGTGCTTCAATGAACCGCCTCACTCTTGACGCCCGGCTTAGCCAGAGCAGCTGTGCTTGTTGGTTAGTTTGTTTTACTGGAAGCAGAGAGCAGCTCACTATGTTTAAACAGTGACAGAGGAGGGGGGTTCAGTGGGGCTAAGTCTACAGAGAGAGACAGGACAGGGGCCAAGATAAGAGGCTAAAAAGTGCAGGTGATGGAGAACGGAGAAAAAGCAAGGAGACTGTGCTTCCTCTGAAAGGTCCCGCTGGTCCCAAGACTGGGATGTGGCCAGCTGTCAGGAGGTCAGCCGGACCTCACCCTGACCTGCTCGGGTCTGCACGTGGTCCAAGCCCTGCACTGAAAACAACGCTTCTGGGCCGAACCTCAACAGAGGTCCCTAGGAGGCAGCCTGTGCTGGGACCTACTCAGATTTCATCAACTGGAAGCCTGAATAATCAGAGTCTAGGGCTTCCCAGGTGGCATTAGTGGTAAAGAACCCCCCTGCCAATGCAGGAGACGTAAGAGAGGTGGGTTCGATCCCTGGGTCAGGAAGATCCCCTGGAGGAGGTATGGCAACCCACTCCAGTATTCTTGCCTGGAGAATCCCATGGACAGAGAAGCCTGGCGGGTTACAGTCCATGGGGTCTTCAGACACGACAGAAGCAACTTAGCATGCACACACAGTGCGAGACGGGCATTCTGAAAAGCTGTAAGGATCACACAGGCAAAGTGGACGGAGGTCTGTCTGAACCACAAGGCCTGGCCATCCGCCCCCTCACCTCCGGCTCCCCAGGGCGTCTGGCGAACCACCTGCATCAGTATCCATAGGTCCCCCCAGCCTTGCCTTGCCCCCTCATCCCAGAGCTTGCCTTCTCAAGATTCGGATCCTGGAGGTCTGGATGGAGGCAAAAGGCCTGTCCTGCCCATGGGCTGGGCTGCACCCTCCCCCAGGTGGTCCTGACGCAAACCCTCCCCTGATGCAGACCCTCCCCTGGGTGGTCCTGATGCAGACCCTCCCCTGGGTGGTCCTGATGCAGATCCTCACAACGTTGCCACCAGCCCAGCTCCCCAGTCAGCACCACGGTGCGCGGTGACCTCAGGGCACTGGGATTCAGCGGGAAGCAAAACACGGACAGTCCCTGATGGCCGGGGGTCACGTTCTAGAGGGAGGAGAAAAATCAAAACCAAACAAATAAACAGGCAAGGGTTCCAGGAAGCAGAAACTTGAGGGGATGAGGGCAAGAACGTGAAGGGTGGGACAGCACAGGCAGAGAGGGAGCCAGAGAACCCATCCCTGCGGAGGGAAATTCAAGAGAAAACCGAAGGCTGAAAAATAGCGGTCCAGGCAAGGGGCTGCGGGCGCAGAGGCCAGGCACGCTGCGGGGCCCTGAGAGCCGCCAGGCTCTGCCTTGGGCCCTGGGAGGTCACCTCCAAGCTCCTGGAATGTCCTGCCTGACAAAGCATCCTGGTTTACATGGGGACCTTGGCAGGCAGGAGAGGACCAGTGTCTGGGAGGAGTGGGCTCTTAGAACCGCCCACCAGGTAAGAGAGGGAGAAGAGGATATTCCCCACTCCCTCCGGTCCTTAGTCAGCCTTTGTCCCCCAAGGTATCAGCGCCCCACACTCCCACCCTCTTCAGTCAGCACACTCTACACCCCAGACGTGGGCCTGCACCCAAACTGGGAATCTGGGGGACATGGAGCTGCCGGAGCCTCCTCGGGACCCCATCAGGCTGGCCCTGGATGCAGAGATGCTGTGGTCACTCCGTGTGGGCTGAGCAAGGACGCGGAGCTGCCCAGAGCTCACCCCAAAGAGGCCCAAACTGCCTGCAGTCTTAGGAGGCAAAGCAGAGGTGGGTGGGGCTGAACGAACCCGGAAGGAGCAGGAAGCGGCTCTGGATCGCATAGAGCAGGGAGGTGGTTTTTTTGTCTTGCATCCCTGGGGTTCAGCACAACTCCTGACTCCCAGCCAGGGCTCAGGAAATGAGGCCTCAAACGGATAGCCTCATTCAAGATAGGACGCTTCACATCGGTTCACAGGATCACCTGGGGCATGGGCAGTGAGTTACTTCTCTCTGAGTCCCTGTGTGGATGTAAGGGTGGCACCAGGCTCCCTGGGACTTGTTTCAAGGAGTTGATGCTCACGGGCTGTCAAGCTTTGCTCAAATGTCGAGGAAGGAAAAAATCAGAGCGGGCACGTGATGGTTCATTTTAAGTATCAGCTTGGCTGGGATGGATGCCAAGGCAGCTGATGAAACATTTGTTCTGGGTGTGTCTGTGCTGGGGTCTCCGGGAAGAGATCAGCGTTTGACTCGGTGGCCTGAGTAAAGCAGAGGGACCCTCCCCAGCATGCGAGGGTGGCACGCAATCCAGGGAGGGCCTGAACTGGACAAAAAGGTGAAGGGAGGTTGAGCTCTGCCCTCTGTGTGCCTGGGGCATCCACGGCCTGACCTCTCAGACCCTTGGATTCGTTTTCCTGGGCCCCTGTTGGCAGAGGGCATAACAAGGGACTTCTCAGTCTCCAGCATCACGTCTGCCAATCCTTACAATAAATCTCTATAGAGAGACAGAGATATAGATAGAAACACAGGCAGACAGAGATAAGACAGGTAAATGGAGACAGGGAGAGGTAGAGAGGCCGGGCCACCTCCCACGGGTTCGGTTCCTCTGGGGAACCTAACAAGCACAGAACATCCCCTTCTCCTACTTAAATGCCACCCACGCTGGTCCAGTGGTTGAGAATCCGCCTTCCCGTGCAGGAGACGGGGCTCCATCCCTGGCTGGGGAACTGAAATCCCACGTGCCGTGAAGCCACTAAACCCGCACATCCCAACTGCTGAGCCCACGTGCTGCAACCAGAGAAGCCCATGGGTTGTAACTGAGATCCGACAGAGCCAGATAAACAAAGAACTAACATTTTATACACATCGCCCGTGGAGGACACCATGGTGGCTGAAATGCAGGGTCATTTTTCCTCACCAACATTCTTCAGTTCAGGAAAAAAACAAAGTGGTATTTGGTGGGGGGAGGAATCTAAACTAGGCAATTTAAGTTGTTCAGCATTAACATGTTGGGATGGGCCCTAAAACAGACTAGAGAAGGAAACGGCAACCCACTCCAGTGTTCTTGCCTAGAAAAACTCCATGGACCGAGGAGCCTGGTGGGCCACAGTCCACGGGGTCGCAAAGAGTGGGACATGACTTAGCAACTGAACACACACGCACGCACTAGAACATTCTCCATGTTGATGTTTTAAATGGCTACAACTTGCAAGGCTTCTGTTTATCCTGAAGAAGCCCTCGTGAAAAGGCAGTTGTGCCCCAACCGCAGTGGTTAGGGGGAGAAACTTTTGAAAAGCCCCCTTTCATGGGATGTGCGTGTGGCACTATCCTGACTGGTGTCTGCCCAGCCCGAGTCTGCTGGGTCGGGGCTCACAGGGTGAGGATGCTGACGGAGCCCTTGCCAGCCGGGGGATTACCTCTGAAGCCCTGCTGTGGTTGAGATCAGAGCAGTCAAATTTCAGTCTGCGCTTGGAGCCGGACTAACGCCACCAATGAACCCTCACCGCGAGGCTGGGCTCGAGAGACCCCTGGGGAGAGACGTGTGGCTGCAGCGGCGCCAAGGGAGCCCAGAGCCAGCGCCCGTCCCCCCACCCTCGCTTCCCTGACTTTCAGGAACCAGGTGGCTGTCCTCTGGCCTCGCCTGTCCCCGAGCATCCAGACGCGGCTGAATCTGCCCACTGCCCGGACGGAGCAGGGGGTGACACCATCCCATGAGGACCCGCAGGAGTGTCCAGAAAGACCCACGGGCCCGCTTTTCAGAGCCTCCTCTGAGCTCCCCTCTTGCTCCAGAAAGAGTCTGAATGCCTTGATCTCGTCTGCAAAGTGCTGCGAGCATTCACTGCAGCTGCTCGTTCCAAATCTTAAGAAAAGGGTCCCCGTGTACCTGGGTACGGCACAGCAGGGTAAGCGGGCCGTCTGAGAGCCCCTGGGGCCGGTGCCCCCCGGGAGATGCTCCAAGCCATCCAGTCTCCCCACACTCTACCGAACGCAGCATCGAGGCCCCTTGGTCAGCCCCCCGGGTTTGCTCCCTTGACCCAGAAGAGCCTGAACCCAAAGTCTTGCCCTCACTGGACACCCCAACCAGGAGGCTCACCCTCACCTTGACCAGCTCCTTGAATCTGGGGTCGTCCCTAGAGGTGGGGTCGATCACCGTGCGTTCCTCGTTCTCCTCTGTGGGGACAAAGGACAGGCAGGTTAGCATTGGTGGGGGCAGCTGGCTTCCCTCACACAGATGGGGGGGATCGAGAGCAGAGACCCCCAAGGTCTTCTCACGGAGCAGCCCTGCAGCCAGGCACATGGCCCAGGCAGGCGGGCCTGCCTTCTGGGAAGCCACGAGGCACCTACTCTGGTATTTCAGGAGAAGCAATGGGGTGGTGGTGGGGCGCTGATTCAGATCTGGAGAAAAGTCACTATAAATAAACCTGAGAAAGAGTTGTCCTTCACCAAGAAAGCTTGCTTCGACATACGATGGTATGGACAAAAACATTTGGGGGGAGCGCTAAAAAAAAAAAAAGGACATTTCACAGCAAAGCGTGTTTATCCATATTCTGTTTCTGTTTTGTTTTTCCCTCCGTGTTTGGCCTTGACCATGGACCGTGGGCAGCAGCGAGCTTGGACAGAGAGGGACACGTGGTAATAAGCGGACACGTGTGCGCGCTCAGTCGCTCAGTCCTGTCCGACTCTTTGCAACCCCATGGACTGTAGCTCAGCAGGCTCCTCTGTCCATGGGATTTCCCAGGCAAGAATACCGGAGCGGGCGTCCACGCGCTCCTCCAGGGGATCTCTCCGACCCAGGGATCGAACTTGCATCTTCTGCATCGCAGGTGGAGTCTCCACCACTGAGCCAGCAGGGGAGCCTAGTAAGTGGACGGCAGACACCAGACACCGCACAGAACAACGCTGACCCCGAGCGTTAAAAGGGAGGAAAAGAGGCACGGCCTCTGGCCCCTGGGACGTGCAGGTAAGATGACCAGGGCCCCTGGGCCCACACAGGCCCCCGCAGCTGGGACCCTGCCCATGTTGGTGGGAATGAATGGCTTTGAGTGACAGAGACGTCACAACAGCAAAGTTTAAAACCTGACAAAGTGGAAGCACTATTCTTGGAGTCGCGCAGACTTGATGCTTGAGAGGGATGCTCCAAGTAAGCTGCAGGAGGGCACACGGGGGGTCCCCGATGAGGCCCTAGCAGCCTCCCACCACTCCCGGGGTCAAGGCCAGCATCCTCCATGCAGTCCTCCAGGCCCTCTGTAGCCTCTATCCCCAGCTCTCCCCGGCACCCTCCCACCCAATCCCTCCAGACTTTGCTTGCCCTTCAGCAAGCCTCTCGCTACCACCGACCACAGGGCCTTGGCACATCCTACTGTGTGTCCAACAACCTCTCTCCCCAAATTCACCCCCCAATTGCCCAGCTCTCAGCTCCTAGTGCTGACTAGGCTGGTTTCTATCAAAGTTACAAGAGCTTCAAGGGCCAGCAGGACCTTAACAGAGCGAACTGAAGAACGCTGACTCCCAGCCCAGGAGCAGTGGTTTAGGAAAACGGTAAGACAGGAGAATTAGGGCAAGGCAGGTTCAAGGCATCGTGACAAACAGTAACCTGCCCTCGTTTACAGTAAATCTGTTTTCTAAGCGCTCCTGCTGGCCTAAAGCGGGTTCTCAGCCAGGAGCAATTGTGTCCCTGAGGCCCCCAAGGGACCCGCAGCAACGTCTGGAGACATTTTTGGTTGTCTTCAACGGTGGTGTGGCTTGGGGTGGGGTATAAGCTACAGGAATCTAGTGGGTGGAGACTAGGGATGCTGATCACACAGGACAACAACACACAGGACAGCCCCTCCATCAAAGAACTGTGTGCTCAGCCACTCAGTCATGTCCGACTCTTTGCGACCCCATAGACTGTAGCTCACCAGGCTCCTCTGTCCAAGGGATTTCCCAGGCAAGAAAACTGGAGTGGGTTGCCTTTTCCTTCATCTTCCCGACCCAGGGATTGAACCTGCATCTTCGGCATTGGCAGGTGGATTCTTTACCACTGAGCCACCCGGGGAGTCTCCCCGACATTAAAGAATTATTCTGGGCCAAATGTCCATAGTACCTGGGGCCGGGGGAGGGGAGAGAAACCTTGCTCTGAATCTGGGTGATTTCCAGACAGCGCTCGTCAGTTCCCCCAGGGGGAGAGTCACCTGCCTGGGCAGCAGCTACAGCCAGACTGAGGCTGCAGCACAAGAGGGTCTTCTGAGAGGTGAGGGGACACCCTGGGGGACCCAGCGTCTCCGAGCCCGCCCAGCCCTTGGCCACAGGTCGGCTGTCTGGACGGCCTTGGCATTTCTTTCCCACCAGCTCCCGCTGGCCTGGCCTTGTGCTGGGAACCACAACAGAGGCATCCACCTGGACTTCCCTTTGAACCAGGGATTGGAAAGAAGCGGAATGTTCCAAGCCAGCCTTCCAGATCCATCAGACCCCAAAGCACGCTTTAAGGGAAAACGTGTCCAGGCCGTCACCTCATCAGTGTCGGCGGGGACGCGGTCCCAGGGAGGTGGGCGCAGGGCCGGCACCACTCAGCAGGTCCCACCCAGCAAGCCCCTGGCGTTGGGAGGCCCCTCCAGCTTGCGTAGAGACAGGGCAGGTATTAATAGTTTTTCTGATTCTCTGTATTTTTCTTTCTTAAACTGTAAGGTTTTTTTTGACATGCATTCACTGCTTTCTGTCTCTTTCTTTTTGGCTGCACGGAGTCTTTATTCCTGCGTGTGGGCTTCTCTCAAGTTGTGGTGAACAGGCCTCTCATTGCGACGGCTTCTCTCGCTCCTCGTGTTCCCTTCTAACGCCCTTGTTACAGGCTCCAGGGCGTGCAGGCTGCAGCAGTTGCAGCATGAAGTCTCAGGAGTTGCAGTTCTCGGGCTTAGCTGCTCCACAGTAAGTGGAATCCTCCCGGACCAGAGATCGAACCTGCATCCCCTGCATTGGCAAGTGGATTCTTATCCACTGAACCACCAGGGAAGTCCCTTTTCTGTATTTTCAGGTGCTTTGACATCCTGGGGCCTTAGGGACTTATGGGGACTCCCTGCTCAGAGCTAGCTGACTCCCAAGACAGCAAACGTGTCCCCTGTGAGTGCCTTTCGATGCAAACAACCAACCCAAAGCCCACCCCCCGCCCCAGCCAGCTCTCTAACTCAGCTCCCACGTGGCTGCTGCACATCCAGCCAACAGCCCCTGCCCTAGTCTCCTGAGACCAGGTACAGACGCCTCAGGGCAGTTTCTGTGTCCCAGAAGCGCCCGAAACTACCCGAACCAGCTGATCAAACCTGTTCATGAACCCTGCCTCACCCACTCCGTCCTGAGAAAACTACCATAAAGGCGTCTGCTCACTCCTGCCCTGACACTGCTGCTCCCCCGGCACCTGGGGAACCGTGAGTGCCACAAACCGTCTTTTCAAGGAGAGTCGGCTCCCCGATCTCTTGGCCCCATCATACTTAAATACTAATAAGGCTGACATTTGCAACCAGAGAGGCCGAAATCTACAAGGGAAAGCTCACTTTGTTCCTGCAGACTTTTTTCTAAACACGACCTTGAGCTGAGAGCCCGCTGTGAGGTCTGATCACGAGGCTCCTCGTCAGCCCCTCCCAGACCAACCGCTCCCTCAGGGACGTTCAGCTCGGCCAGGACAAGGAGCTGGAGGAAGCGACAGTACCGAGCAGGGAGTCTTCGGGGTGGACCTCCACGGGGGCGGGGCACATGGGCAAGTTGATGGCATTCTTCCCTTCTTCCTGGAGGTCACTCACTGTCAAGAGAAAGAGAAAGGGCAAAACCGGTGAGTATAGACGGACTAGCGTGGTCTCACACGTTGGCAGTGAAAACAAAGAGAAATCAACTCTCATTTTTAAGGCATTTAACAAACATTCCTAAATGGCTGGTTGCCCAGAAAGAGTCTGAGGAAAAATGCCCCGAACCAAGAATACATTCTACAACTCCTCGCCAACGCCAGAGAGTGCCCAGTTCCCGGCCAAGCCCTACCAGGCTGTTCTCACCACTCTTCGGAACACATGACTAAGTCACGGAAGCTTCTGGATGCTTCTAGATCTTGCCCAAGCCTGCTGGGGTGGACACAGCTTGGATCGCAGTGACAGGGTCTGAGAAGGCAGGGTCCCTCCCCCGACTCAGACAGTCATGGACTCCGGGTGTGAAGACCCTCCCGGCAGGTACACAGGCAAGCCCAGAGTCAGAGGCGGTGCCGCTGTCCGTGGCCAAGTTCACGGGACAGAATCCTGCCGGCCTGACACCCGGCGATACCAGGGTCAGGAGCAGTGGAACACGCGGCAGAGTCTAACGAACTGGATCCAGAGGCCTGGCGTCTCCCGAAACTTCTCAGGGACCACAGGGCTGGCTATGCGGTGAGTGGGGCGGCCTCCATCCACGGAGCAGAGAAGATCCCTTGCCGCCCCAACACCAGGAGGCTCACAGCCTCACCCTTCAACACCGCGTTTCTTCCACCGGCCCCAACTGCGTCCGACGCCAGGCTCCAGCCCTCAGCCCTGATTCAGTGGGTGCAGGGGGCCTGGGACCTGCCCCCTTTCCAGCCCTTGGCTGAGAACCACTGGGCAACAGTCCCTGACCATGGAGCACACAACCAGCCTCTCCCTGGGTGATCTCCAAGGACAAGGCCCAGGCTTTCTCCTCCGTTTTATGTATTTCTTTTTAATAGTCACTGATCTACAATATTGTATTAGTCTCAAGGCCTTTTCCTCTGTAATGAAACGGCCTTAGATGTGGAAACCTACTTCCTTGTTCAATATTGAGGTCACCTTGAACATCTCCAATTCTGGGGCCTGAAGGGGCAGGGGGACAGAGAAGCCAGGCGACAGGCACAATGGCCTCGGCTGAGGCAGGCATGTCTGGGAACCTCTCTGCCTGTCTTCTCAAACGTCAGGACACCCGCAAGGACTGAATGCAATGATGAACGTCAGATCCTGAGGGCAGAGCCAGCACGCAGTGGGCTCCCTGGACTCAGCCACAGACCCAGCTCTGGGGACAATGCCGCCTCTGCCCCGCAGGAGGACGATGGCAGTGGGGCCCAGGACGCCGGCTTCCAACGTCAGGAAGACCCTGATACAAAACTGAAAAGCCACAGGGGCGGGGGGGGGAGGCTCTCCCGCACACCCACAGTCTACAGCAGGAACGGTTTACACAGCGGTTCACAGCCAAAAGGTGGAGACGGCCCACGTGTCCCCCGACAGATGAACAGACACACCAATGTGGTCCAAACACACAAATGCACATTATCCACCCACAAAAAGGAAAGGAATTCAGGCATATGCTACCACGGAACCATGAAGACATTGTACCAGGTAAAATAATCCAGACACGAGATGGCAAGTCCTGTATGATTGCACAGACACGAGGTCCTGAGAGACAGATCCAGAGTGACGGGGAGTAGAATGCTGGGCATCCGGGGCTGGGACAGAGGGCAGTTATGGGCAGTCAGGGGGCTAGGGGGACAAGGCTTCACTTTGCGCAGATAGAAGAGGCCTGGAGGTGGATGCGGTGACAGCTGCACAGCAATGCGGACGTACCCAATCCCATTGAACTCTATGCTTAAAAAGGGTTAAAAGGGTAAATTGCATGTTATGTGTAAGTTACCACAATTTAAAAGGAGAGAGAAGAAAAAGTGGGCCCCTCCCAACAACAGTCTAATCCGGAAGGCCAACGCCCTGTAGCTGGAGGCATCACAGTCTCTCCTCTGCCCCCGCCCCACATCCTAGGAGCGGACAGCCATCTTTTTATCCCCGCATCCTCGCCCGAACTCTGTGCGAGAAGCAGACACATGGGAAACACATTCACAAGCAAAACACGAGTTTTGAGACACACACACGCCCGCCTGGCTCCCCATTCCAAAGATCCCCAACTGGTCACTCAGACCCGCTGAGAAAACAGACCAAGTTTCAGCAATTACTTTCCCTGCAGAACAAATTACAGAGTTTTCGAACCAGCAAAGAGCTTTCCAAGGCAGAAAAGGGAAGGTGGAAAAGGAGGTTTTTCACAAAAGTCCTCGCATACACAAGAGGTGGGCAAGGGCACGTGGGCAGTGGCCGGGGTCCCGTACTCCTGTCTCCTGGGCCGACGTCACCAAAGAGAACAGAGAGGCCAGAGAGGTCCCTGCCGGTCAAGTCCCTCTGTGATGGTTCTGTTCTCCGAGGAGGAAGAACAGAAGACAGTGGTGTCATGCGAGCAGAGGGCTGCACAGGTGGGCTTCAAGTCACAGGTGAGCCACGCAGCTGAGTCCTTACAATGAGCCCGCAGCTCTTCCCAGAAGCCCAGAGCTGCCTCTCAGGTCATCCACTCACCTGGACGCTGGACCTGGGCCAGAGCAACCGGTGGGCGGTGGGGGTAGGGGGGTGCAGAGATAAAGAGATGCTTGCAGAAGTCCTGCTGCCTGATCTCAGAAACAAGGAGGCGTGGAGGGGGGAGGGCGCGGGAATGGCATTTTCAAAGCAGAGAAACTGGGTCACATGAAAACAGAAATTTTCACACCGCCCTTGAACATCAAAGATAACACTAAACAGGGCTCGGGATCTGGCGGCTTTAATGGATGAGAAATGCTCACACAGACCCGCCCAGAACTCAGGGCCAACAGCACATTCCACAGGCCTGTGAAGCATAAAGCCCCGAGGAACGCAAGTACGGCCTATGACCACGGAGCCCTGGGTCAGATCTCACCGTGCCCTCTGAGGGCGTGTGGCCGCCAACAAGCCCCTTCACCTTGCCCAGCCTCGGTTTCCCCGTCTGGAACACGGGGTGGCAGAGGTGTCTACCTCACAGGGACTTCTGAGGAAAGAGTTCATCCCAAGGAGAACCAGGGAAGGCTTCCTGGAGGAAGCAGTATCTGAACTTGGCCTTGAAAGATGGCAAGAACCTCCAAAAGGGACTTTGGTACTCCATGCAAAGCCCATGGAAGACAGATCAGAGAAGGGATTCCGGAAGCCCTATGTGGAGGCCACATCCATGCTGAAACACAGCAGGGTTCTTCGGGACTCTGCTAGTGTTCATGGCCTGGGAACCCTGGGGGATACAGCCCCTTCACCGAGAAAGCTTCAGTCCAAATCTGATGACTGTCTTCTGAGGGTCAGTCTGGTGTCTGGAAAGAGGGGAGGAGCCCCTTGAACCACGGCTTTTCCCCAAGGCCCCCGCTCTGCGAGGTCAGTCCAGTTCAATTCAGTTCAGTCACTCAGTTGTGTCCGACTCTTTGCGACCCCATGGACTGCAGCACGCCAGGCCTCCCTGTCCATCACCAACTCTCGGAATTTACTCAGATTCATGTCCATTGAGTCAGTGGTGCCATCCAACCATTTCATCCTCTGTCGTCCCCTTCTCCTCCCGCCTTCAATCTTTCCCAGCATCAGGGTCTTTTCCAACGAGTCAGTTCTTTGCATCAGGTGGCCAAAGTATGGGAGTTTCAGCTTCGGTGTCAGTCCTTCCAATGAATATTCAGGACTGATCTCCTTTAGGATGGACTGGTTAGGTCTCCTTGAAGTCCAAGGGGCTCTCAAGAGTCTTCTCCAACACCACAGTTTTAAAGCATCAATGCCAGGTCAGTGGCTTTCCGCTAATCTCAGGAATGTGTTGGCTTTGAAAGCACTGGTCCATTTGCCAGAATGTCAAACACTTCAAAGACTGGAAATCTTGCATGATCTTGCGTCACGGAGATAGATCCGCTGGCCTGTGGTGTGCATGTAGGGTGTGGGCATTCAAAGAGCCTGGGGTCCAAAGTCCCAGGGCCAGGGACTCACTGTTGTGCTAAGGGTCTGCCCTTATCCACCCTAAACCCAACAGGCAGCGCATTCCCAATTCACCAAGGTTCACCTTCCCGCAGAGACACTCAGCGCTGTGGGCCCCACGGGCGACACAGGGCTGGGGAAGAGCCAGGAGGGCCGGAGGCTGGGAGCGGCCCTGACCGCTCCGGGGCCCCTGTGGGGACAGCCACACCTCCCCCAGCCCGGGGGTGCAGAGTGGGCTACGCAGACCACCGTCGCCAAAACCCAGGAGCTTTCAAAATAAAGCTGGAAATTGAGGGTTTGGGGTAGAATCTCCCAATTTATAAATGCAAGCAAGTAATTCAAACTCTGTGGCCCAGATAGGAGCCACCGATTTGCAATCCCAGTTCGCAGTAAATGTCCAGCCCACACTCCTGCCTGTCAGTGGGGGAGGGCCACCAGCATTTTCTGAGCACCTACTGTGTACCGGGCACCTTCCATGCCTTCCACTCATCTAATCTCCTAATATGTCTGTGAGGGAGTGGCTGGCCCTGGCTTGGTCCTCACTGGGCCAGTGTCTGTCAGATATGAAGGCATCTGATATACACCAACCATGAGCCCTGCAGGCAGGACTGAACTCATTTCTACCTGGTCTTCACTCACTCTGCCCAGCTACGTCCTATCCACCTTCAGGCCTCAGCTTGCTGGCTGCCTCTTCCAGGAAGCCCTCCTGGGTGCTCCTTGCCCATTCCAGGCTCCCCTCTGCCCAGCTCGCATCCCATAGCCAGCCCTGTAACCACCTGTTTCCTGGACCATCTGCCCACACCAGTGATAGCTCAGCTCCTGCACATAGTAGGTCTTTATAGTTGAGAAGCTACACAATGAGGGGCTTAGAACCTGGGAGCCAGTCTGTTCTTTCAGATCCCAGCTCAGCCACTAAGAAGCTGTGTAACTGCTCCATGCCTCAGTTTCCATCTGTGAAATGGGGCCTGATACACCCCCAAAGAGAGACGGAGAAGATAATGACCACGCA